TTAATTTTCTCTTGCAAAGAAAATGTTGACTAGAAAATAAAAAATAAAATAAAATAAAAATACAATTTTTACGTTTCACTGGATGTGTGTGTGTGTGTTTCTGGTTGTGTGCGTGTCTTGGATATTTTTTTTTTTGTATGGAGCTGCCGGGTTGCGCTTACTCTCGAGCTAGGAACTAATTTTTGGTGGAACATGGCTTGTGAACGTCGTTGTGTAATACGACGCATTGGATGCTGTGCGGAGCCTAGGGCTCGGCATAGCCTCCATAGGATAGCTCAGAGTTGGAGCCAGCGCCGGAACTGGATCCGGTGGATCCGGAACCACTGCCGCCCGGGCAACCGCCCTCATTGTGCTTCGTCAGCAGCGACATCCGCGAAAATGTCTTCGAGCAATTGCCACACGAATATTTCTTGATGTCCGAGTGCGTCTGGAGATGCGCTCGCAGATTGGAGCGATCCGCAAAGGCGCGATGGCAATGCTGGCAGCTGAAGGGCTTCTCGCCCGTGTGGGTGCGAATATGGCCCTGCAGCAGCCAGGGCCGGGAGAAGGCCTTGCCGCACATGTTGCACTTGCAGGGCAGCGTGTGGGTGCGGATGTGCATCTTGAGGGCGCCCAGCGAGACGTACGTCTTGTCGCAGTCCTTGCAGCTGAAGGACTTCTTCACCTGGTTGCCCTCGGCGGCTGGGCAATGGAATTGCTGATGCTTGGTGAGGCCCGAGAAGGTCGAGTAGGATTTCTGGCAGTCGGGGCATTGATAGCGTGGCGGCGCCGACTTGTCCTTTTTGCTGGGCGAGGACGAGACCGAGGCGGCCGAGGAGGCCGACGAAACTGACGCGGAGGAGGAGGAGGACACTGTGGCTACCGAGGAGACGGAGCTGTTGTGCTGTTTGCCGCTGGCCACATCACCGAGCAGCGCCGCAGCGCTCGTCTGTTTGTGCTTCAGGGAGAGATCCTCGGGCACCGAACAGCAACTCGACTCGGGCGTCAGGCTGCGCATCGAGTAGTAGGAGCTCTCGGAGTAGGCTGGCGAAATGGGCGCATGATGCTGCGGATGCAGCGGCTGATGATGCGGATAGCCTAGAGCAGTATAGGCGGCAGCCGGATAAGTCGGATAGGGCAGAAACGTTTGATGCTGGCGCACGCCCAGCTGCGGTCTGTGGATCATCTCGGAGCGCATCGGCGGCGACACAGAGCTGGCGCGTCCGTGCAGATAGTGATGGGGCGGTGGCGACAGGGAGCCCAACGAATCGGATGGGGAGCTGGGCGAGAGCAGCTCGCCACGCAGTGGCGCCGCAGCAGCCGCCGCGGCCGACAGATGCGGCTGATTGATGGTGCGATAGAATTCGGCTGTGTAGGACGACATGTGAAAATTCCATGGCGGTATGCCATACTTGGGATAGGTGGGTGTGGGCACCACCACGGATGCGGCTACCGCAGCCGCCGAGGCAGCTGCAACAGCGGCTGCAGCGGCCAGGGCAGCGGCCTGTGTCTGATTGGGATCACTCTCGACATTAACACAATCGACATCGTCGTCATCCTCGTGCTCCACATCCATCTGCTCGGCCTCATCGTCTGTGTGATCCACATCGACGCCTTCGTCCTCACAGCAGTCGCTCACATTGATGAGCTCGTCCTCTAAGCCGCTGGAGGCGGCTGATGTCGCTGAGTGCTCAATTGTTGTTGTTGTTGTTGCTGCAGCTGTCGCTGTTGGTATTGGCGAACAGACATCGCTGTTGCTGCTGCTGTTCTTTTTCAGGCACAAATCCTCGGGCTCGGCTTCGAACTGATAGTTGACCGGACGCTTCTTTAAAGGACACTTGCTGTAGTTCTTTTCCACTAGCATATGCTCGACGGTATGCATTTTGTAACTGTTTTTTGTTTTATTTCTTGCTATTTTATCTTTGATTATTGTCACAGTCGAATTTCTCAACTGTTTCTGTTCTGCTGGCTGTTGCTTCACATAAACATCGCGTTGCGCACAAAACTTAACGAACTGAACGAACTGTGTCTGTGTGGACTTGCCGTCAATGTGATTTTGGTTTTGCTTTTGCTGTTGCTGTTGCAATGAACGAAAGAGAAGAACTGAAAACCAAACGGCGCTAGCAGCCTTTTTATAAGCGGCACACTAGCGCTGCGCGCAGCCAGAGAGCACGAGAGAGAGCGCTGTGCGGGAGAGCGAGTCAAAGAGCAGCAATTACCTGCTCCCTTGTTTATGCCTGTCTTGTTGGCTGGCTACCTGACTGCGACTGTGTGCGTGTGTGTGTGTGCGTTGATGCGTTGTGTTGCGGCCAATCGCAGAGCTCCGCGCCAAAACCGGTTTTCACTCAGTTTATATATGCTTTATATACTTCGGAGCGCGTACACTTGCACCAATCGCTAACGCCGCCGCAGCAACAACAATAAAAAAAACCGACTGCAACTAAATGCCGTTATGTTTGCTATGGTGTGCAGCGTGGCCCCCAGCTCCCGCCGTAGCAACGAAAGAGAGCGAATCCAGTGGCGCAGTCCGATCACAGGAAGAAGCATGCAGGCCGCAGCTCTTCTCTTTCAATCATTCGCCGCACGAGTCAACACGAAGTCCCGACAGCGGCTGAGACAGCGGCTGCAAAGAGCGCCGGAGCGTAAAAAGCAGTGAAAATAATAATGATAAAGCAACAATAATGTAGAATACTAACATGTAATACGCTCTTAGCTCTGCTCTGGACTCTTTTCGGGGGTGGCAAATGGCTCTTGCGCAGTTTCTCTGATATGATTCAAGACGCGTGCAAATTCAAATAGAATTTCAATAATTAAGACGCACTAAAAATGACAAATCACGATTGACGAATAAACAGAGTTGCATGTAACAAAACTTATCGAGCTGTGTGAATGGCACTTGACAATCGCACGGAATGACGACACTAATTATCGAAATCGAAGAAATGTATTAAATTGCCCAAATTGAGAAAAATATAGAGAAGCTGATAAGATGAGGACGAGGCAGAGCGGATCAGGTGCAGGTCTTGATAAGGAAAAGGACCTGGAGGTATACAAAGTCCAGGTAAAACTCGGCACGTGTGTCAACTGACAAAGCTTCAGGTAGTTCTCAAATAGATTCGATTGTATTTGTTTTGGTCAAAGAAATGGGGTAAAGTCAAAGAAGCTGACCTGCCAGATATTCATATATTTATATATATATTTTCATTCCAGATGTAGTCACAGTTGTGCGAGCACATATACACATGCACTCATATACATACATAAGTATGTACATATACATATGTACACAGTGGTCTACACCTTATTTCAAAAACAAATATGCGCATCTATAAAATCTGAACTAAGACTAAATTCATGTAAGTTGCTAATCTCATTCATACCTTAATCATCTTTATTGATATTTTTTTAGTTTATAATAATTATTAGCTAAAGAGCCAACAAAATCCAACAGCTCCACAGCTTATTTAACTTATATGTGCAAGTAAATAAGCTCTCACATAACGCTCTCTTAAGCTGCCTTAAAAGCCACAGCTCTTAGCATTTGCATCGTTCCATTCCCACACGGTTCCGCGTGGCGCTCTTAGCGCTCTCTTAAAACGCTGCCCCATTAAACGGCGCATGCTTAAGCAAGTGTCGCTTGCTAATCGACTCCGACAAGGGTTTAACTCGTAACTCTAAATTTAGACGCACAAGTCCTGCCACACACACACATACCGAAACGCGTGTTGAGCAATTAAAAAACAACACATGCAGCGCTCTCAAGTGGAGCCACCCGCAGCAGCAGCACCAGCACCAGCATCAGCAGCTGTCAAAGGAGCGAAACAAACAAACAAACACTTTCCATGTTGTTTGTCAGATAAAAAAGGTGTTAGGCTGGGCTAGCATTGGCTTGAGTTGCTTCATAAATCATGCTCGAGTGCAGACCTGTGCCAATTGCCATGCTCCTCTTCTTCTTCCCAGAATCTGCAATCCTGCTGCCCACACAGGCGCACGTTTAACTTAATTAGCGCGCTTATCAAATGTTGTTTGTTGTTGTTTTCTGTTTTTGCTCTGTTGTCCGCTTCTGGGAAGTCCCAGTCGCAGTCTAGGGCAAGCGCAATCTCTCGCCAGGCCAGGGCCAGCAGCATAAATTAGTGAGATAAAACCCGGTGCAGCATCCACATCCACAGCATCCAACTGACCACGTACTGTGCCAGATGCGATTTACATGCTCAGCGCCAGTCGGATCTCTCTCTCTCTCTCTCTCTTTCTCTCTCCATCCCTCGCTCTTATCTTATCGTCGTGGCTTGGGCAACTGTTGTCCTCTGTCTCCTCCTCCCTCTCCCTCTCCCTCTCCCTCTCTTTCTCTCTCTACTCAAATGCCTCGATAGACTGTTAACCAAGATTTAATGATCTTGTTAACTAATTTTTTCACGTTAGTTTTTCCACTCCACCAGGCAGGACCACCCAACAGGTGTGGAGTGCCTAACCGCTGCGCAAGTTAATTAGCTTACGCTGGCTACTGCCTTAAATCATCTAGGCAGCAAGTTTATTGTCGCCCGTTGACAAGTTCTGCGCCAATAAGTGGAGCGTTTCTTTTTCTTCTAGTTAACTCTCCTGGGTGGCATTGAAGTCTACGACATTTATTGACAACATTTTCAGTTGTCTTGTGCTCCTTGGAACATAATATCCTGCCTGGCGCAACAACAGCTACAGAGCTGAAACATTTATGAAACTTTCACAGCAACCAAAACAAAACAAAAACGCCGCGGGTGCAGATGCTCCAGCTTCCAGGTTCAGAGATCTCCATAAGCCGCACGCACTTTCATCGAGTGCATCGATCGCACGCAGATCCGTGTCGCCACATCTTTTTTTTTGTTATTTTTTTTTTTTTTTTTTTTTTTGGGCCAGGCCCGTGAGGTAGAGTCAATAAAAATGCTCGATTGTAATTTTCACTGTGCTGCAATTATTGCCTCAGCTTTCAAATGCTGCGGTAGGGCCTGCATCTCTCCGGTGTCTCCTGGTTTCTCCTGGTTTCTCCAGGCTTCTCCTGGTCTCTCCTGCTCTCCCTTCGAGCTTCGTTACAAAAGTAATTTTCAATTTTTACTGCCTGCTCGAAGCATAAAATATAAAGCACAACTCTGTAGAGAGCTGCGGAGCTGTATTTCTCCACCTTCTCCGCTCGCTTCATCCCACACACGCACACACACGCACACTTGTTAATGCCACACGTTGGCCGCTTTGCTTATCCTCAACCTCAACAAGTGGCTGTGGCTTTTTGTCTGTTTCTTCTTTTTTTTGCCTGCGTGTCCTTAAAACGCTTAAATGCAGAAAGAAACACGAGTTTTTCATGTATTTCGGAGCAGACAAATCTCATTAAAAGGCGTCGCGTCGCGTCTTCGTTCATAAGGAAGTCTCAACAGACTCTCTCCCTCTCTCTCTCACTCGCTCTGTCTCCCTGGCCTGCGCTTGACCCCTATCGCTCTCGTGCTCAGGCGTTGTATTTAAAATGTCGTTAATAATTTGTTGCTCTGCCCCAGACACAGACACAGACACACACACACACACACAGAGAGACACACATATAGACGCAGTCGCAAGTCCCTTGGCCGCATTTGCTTTCTTCTTCTTCTTCTTCTGCTTCTTTTTAAAGCTTGTCGTAAAAGAGTTTTATTATTTCTGTTTCAGTGCCTTTAAATAGGATTAGTACCTTAAGAGCTGCTCATATTGTGCGGCTCTTGTGCCTTGTTTCATCTTGCAACAAATAAACTGAAGTAACAAAAATATTAAATTGCTAAAAAAAAAAAAAAAAACTATATCTTTTTACACGCTTTCCAATATTATGAAATTTGTAAAAATATAGCTACAAAAATTTTTTAGAGCATTTTTTTTTAGTTCTTAATTATTTTATTTTATTTAAAAACAATCTTAAAATTGTATACAAAATTTTTGTTTTAATGAATGCATATTAACATTTTCTTATACAATATACATA